CTCGATCAGTTCAATCGTGCTGCATAACACAATGTTGCCAATGCACTGATTGCACAAATCAACTCGATCAGTTCAATTGCATAAATACATGCAGTTTAGAGCTTAAAATGCAAACAAGTTTGCAGACCGGGCACACATACATGTAGGTATGTCAATAGATAAATAAGGAAATTTTCCACTTCAAGGACAGCAGTCAAACGTGAGAACAGATGTGTCTGAAGAGATTTCATAGAGTCTACTTTTTAAAAGTGTTGAAATCCAAACCAAATCATGACATGATTAATGGTTTAATTCATGTGAATATTTCCAAAACCGTACCTTTTGGATGATATCCACGGATATTTTCTGTCTGCAACAAATTAAAAGGAAAAGTAATGAAATCAATGCACATCTTGTTCACAGATTCATTCATTGACATGTACAATGACCCCTCCCAAGTGCCCTCTTTTGAAATCTGAAATAAATCGCCCCCCAAAAAAAGGAATTGTTGGAATGAAAGCTTCAACTGATGTACATGTACATACAACATGTACAAGTAGCTAAAGATTATGAGGATTTTGTGTAAACCAATGGATGTATTTGTCATTCCAACATATACATGTATGTACATGTGTTGAGTAAACGATATCCACAGTACATGTATTTATGCATGGTTGAATAAAGTGTGTAACATATAATATGTTACACACTTTATTATTACATACATGAACACCTGGCTTGTCTAATGGAGTTTGATGTGTTTGAAGTTCTCATCACTGTGTATAGGCCATAATGGGCACGCATTCAGCAGAAATTTATCCCCCTTGAGCATATTCTTTACAAATCACCAAGTTCATATCAATTTTATCAATACAAATCATTCTTGGCAAAGGGTTTGTGTAGTGTTTGTATACACAAGCAAAGTCCTGAGTGTTACAAGACCACCTGGTGATATCAACAGGGACCTTCACCAGTATGTCAAAGACAAAAGGCTGATTGCTGATTTCTGAGGGAACTAGAAATCAGCAAGTGAATTATCCTTTTTCTGAAACATTCCAATCCACAATTCACTCAAGCGAGCCATATCAGCCCTATTCATCTACATGTAGTAAATCTCTTCCTTATTTTCCTAAATTTTAAAATAGTCTACAGTCCACCTTGGTATCACACACATTTTATGCACTTTTTATCTGATAATACAATAACACAGCGTTTGAAAAATGTCATGACTTTGCCTGTATCAATCAGGGCCAGCAAGTTTATTTATAAAATCAGTGCGCTGGAATATGTGATTGCCGAGCTTTCAGTATTAAACTGAGTACCTTCTTCAGGGCAAGCAGATTCAGTTGAATCAAAATATGCACTGAATCTGCTTGCCCTGAAGAAGGTACTTAGTTACCGAAAGCTCGGCAATCACTATTCCTGAGCACTGATTTTGTATTATATTCTTGTCAATATTCTGATCACGGTGCTACGCAGCCCTTCCATAATATGATGCGCTGACTTGGAATGTGCACACTACATGTATGTGCAGTTTCTTCCTTTCCAGACCAGACTTAAAACTGTAATGGATACTTTCCTCGTACAAAATCCATAATTTCAATAGTCTGAATGAGGCATTTCTTGCCTAATCACCATCTCACATTCTCGTATTATTATCACTTCAGCCTCTGTGTGAATCTTAGATACATATTTTGATTATAAAAGGGTGTATTTTATAGTTGAATAGTCGACTGAATTCACGGCAACCTTTTACGTTCAGTCACGTGGTCAATTGCATTGTATTCGTACATGACATATAGCTCTGTACTATTGTTATAGAACTAAACCCGCGGTTGGTCTCTGGTTATATTACTTCATTAGGGCATTTGGAGTGCCAGACATCAACCTGAAGACTTAGCTGGGCGTTTGCGGAACTGAACTGAGTTGATCTGAATAGGAACTTAGTTGAACTTAACTAAACTACAATTAATTATACTGTAAAAATTCAGATATTCATAGGGTTTCCCATATATTATCTGGTATTGTAAATGTGAAAGTCATTGCATTGTGTTGTGAAATTACATGACATGTATTGGTTATTGACTATTAGTTAATGATTATTGGTTATCTCTACTATTACCTGATTGCGCACCCTGCGGTGGGCAGTGCGTTCACACTACCGTTGCATCATCAAGATCTGCACCGACAGTGCTTTATACACCACTGCCACATGTGCGTGAGACAGAATCTCAAGTAAACAGCACAAACAAACTTGGTCACGCTAGCGCCCTCTTGTGGTTGAGTCCATAAAGTTTGTTTTCCCAACACTACACGCTGTATTTGTTCTTTCTTATGTTTTCCCTTTAAATGTTATGGTCGAATGTTTCGTTCTTTGTTCTTAGTTAAAAACAACCCAACAGGTAAAAATAGTCATTCTAGATTACAGACAGTTTGTTTGTTTTGGGGTTTGGGGTTGTAGTTGTTCTGACCTGCTGTCCGGAATAAACCAGTTCAAGTATGTAAACCCGTGTGATCGTCCTTTTACAAGTTGTGCCTCCATCTTTCGACGGACGAACCCACCACCATATTACATCGTATCACTGCCCGTGGCGCAGGATTGTTTGTCAAATTCAGTGTTCATCCTTGTCTTTGTCAATCTTCAAATTTTGGAACAAATCATTAATTAAATTATATTAATTATTTTCCTGTACGGTGGGGTACATGTATATCTGACTCGTCTCAAAATTTATATTGTCTATCAATGTCTTGGCCTGGCCCTTGCTATCCGTAACTAATCATTCGGTGGACCTTCCGACTTGACATGTGGTGCAGATGCCCCATAAGCCTGTTCGATTTGACGATATTTTACAATATTTCGATATGATGTTGATATCGGATATTGTATCGTTCATAAAAACACATATCGGGACATTGTGTAAATTAATATGTCAAAAATTATCGCGACATGCTCCAAACGATGTACTGTACATGCAGATAGGGAAGTCAATACACCATGTGTTGAGCCCTGCATTACTGCATTTAGACCACACAAATACTCCCATTGAAAACCTCAAACCACAAAGTCACTGTTTGCCCAAGCAGCTGCAAGTATTAGGGGGCAGAACCAAATGAACAGACCGTACGCACATGTAATGTATTGTACAGTAAACTCTGGCTAAGTCAGCTCTCTCGCTCGGGACTCGAGATCGTCATACCGCACACGTACACGTACGTATGCAATGGTCAAGTTCATTTAATAAGGCGACCCCAAAATGGACAGGGTGCATGCATGTAGCACTAGAGGGGTTACTGGTATTGATGTGCTCAATCACGTGCTGTTCGTAAACAGACATCAATCAAGCAGTGTGGGGCTTGTCACTTGATTCTTCTTGGCAACCGCGGGAAGGAAACCCGATACCGAAGCGCGATATTTTTTAATGCCGACTTACACAAAGGATCTTTTTTTCCCCCGGGCTTTTCCACTCCCCGGAAAAAAATAACTCTCCCCCCCGAAAGCTTTGAGCAAAACTGACAAAAATTTCCCAACATTTCTCTAAAAGTCAAATGCCCCCAATTTTTGCCACTAATTTTGAATACGCTAAATTAATTACCAATCACACAGTGTGGTTAATTGACAACAGTTACAAAACGAAACACGATTTAATTGAGCAAGCAAAGCTGGACGTGCAAAATCAAAGGCATTGCGTATGTTTAGTGAGAATTACTATAGACAGGAAAACAAGTCTATAAACCAAAGGAAATATTTATTCCCAATTATTTACTCGCCGCTTAAAAATGAAAAAATAAATAGAAATCAGACAAATATCAAATAGAGATGATAAATCAAAAAACAAACGTAAATTGCCACTTTTGTTAAGACACGGTCAATTCAATTAACTCGATGAATTCATACGGCTGAATACACAGTTTAAATTCCAACGGTTTGTTTGAATGCACTGATTGTAAAGAATGCCACAAATGCAACGACTGCATGAAATGCACTCAGTGCACGATTTGCGACGAATGCGGTGAATGTACAAATTGCGTAACTTGTTTGAATTCCAACAAGTGCGAAACTTCAAATGCCTTGGACAGCAGCAAAGCCTGTTTTGACAGCGGCAATTGCATCGAATGTTTTGGTTACACCGCTTGTACCTGCTAAGTAAATTGCATCCAGTTGGGAGGAATGGATCACGTGGTATTCATGGCAGCAAACATATAAAGATGAGGCTTGTGCGAGATGATGAACTACCGCCTAATCCCGCGTCTAAACTGGATTCTGATTTATATAAAATTGGGTTAATAATTAACTACGACGACGACGACGTCGAGGATTTAATCAAAGTAGAGATTCAGCCAGAAGAGGAGTTAATAGACTCGGCCAGTTAGCCCAATAAAAAATGAGAAAAATTTTCTGCCAAGCTGAAAAATCAGAACCTCAGTTATTCTTAGGAATAATTGAGGGTTAATTTTATGTCTTTTAAAATAGATAACAAACATGTCAGAAGAACAAGATTTACTCGTTTTATTTGGCCAAAAACCAACCAATGCAGAAATCAAAGAAGAAGAAGCCTGTCCACATACAAATAGGATGGAAATAGCAGAAGGGTCTAAACTCGCCTGCCCCGAATGCGGACTACATGTAGTATTAACTCGCATTTACTCGGACGAAGCAGAAGTAGGTGAAAGAAAGAAATGAAAGAAAAAATTCGGTCAAACACGACGACAAAGTTGAAAGAAAGTAAATCGAGGAGTAAAGAAGAATTTGCGCACCAAGTCAATAAAAAAGCAGAAGCACTTGCCAACAAAAGGCCGGCAGTTCTTAAAAAAGACCTTATGAAAAAACTTGGCGAATAAGTTTGCACAAGTTGGTTAAATACGAAGATCCGCCACCCGCTTACCCCACCGCGCCCCCTTTTTAAAAAGCTTTATTTAAAAGATGGGACACAACTTTAGTCATTTGGCAATTGCTGTAAGTAAAGACTATTTATTTTCAGCCGAATTTCCAAATTTAACCACGGCGTACAAGTTACCGAGAGTTAAACTGACGAAGCCGTCAATCGTCAGGTTACTGATTCAATTTAGTTCTATCAGAACCAATTTAATTTTGCGGTGTATTGCGCGGCGACAAGGTGGGTTTCGAGCTGTTATCTGATCCCCATCCATATGTATCTGCCCTATTTAACTTTCACGTATATTATACGGTACGAAAAATATCTAACGACTGCGTGATGTCCACTCCCAGCAACAACATTTTCGCTGCGCTGCACAACAATTACGATCATAGAAAATTTATAAACACTTGATTATTATACGTCGACGACCAAAATCAATCTTTTAAACAAACGCGAGATACTTTATCAAATGGGCTAGGCACGGCCTATTATT